TCTAGCACCCATGAAAAAATATTTTCAGGATATTATTTTCAGTTTCAAAAAATAGATTGCACAAAGTTTTTACCCGTTCTCCAAGTTTTGATGAAAATTTATCAAAGATTAAATGTGGATAAACTTCGGACATTGTTCCAATGTTAGGTATATCATGACGCATGACGGTATTGGAGAGAGTGAAGTAAGCTGTGGGGCCATACGGAAGGTGACAAATAACCAGACCATCTAAAAAATATGATATTTCAAACATGGGATCCAGTGTAGATAGTCTTATTCAATAAGCTGACATGGCTTGTGTTTGAACTACCTGAAAAAGATCAATTAATCCTTTTCAGGTAAATTCAACCAAAACCATCTTATTGGTTAGATCTTCTCGGATAACATTGTTAATATAGGCATTTTTGGATAACTCATGTGCTTAGTTTATCAGGTTTCTCATTGGTGATCAGATTTCCCAAAAGATTATTGCCCAATTGATATAGGGGATCCAAGGTACCTACGATTTTAACATCTTCATCTAAGAAGATGTGAAAGTCTAACCATTTACTGACGTCAATGTAAAGCTAGCACTTTCTCAATTATTTTAAGACCTTGAGTAGACAACCAAGAATTGAACCTGAGTCTCCCAGCTTGAAAGGCAAGTGTGGTGACCATGACACCACAAGTGGCAATAGTCCTTTCCCCTTATGAGTGAAATTTTGATCCAGATATGCCTGGACAAAAATTTCATCACAGCTTGAAAGAGCATCACAAAATTAGTAATATTTCAAAGTTTCATTGTGAAATGTTGTAGAATGCGGATAATATAGCCTTGCGAAGTTTGCCGTTTTTCAGTCATTTTGCATTACAAACGGGAAATTGATAATCAAATGATCAAACTGATTATCAATTTCCCGTTTGTAATACAAATGACTGAAAAACGGCAAACTTCACAAGGCTATTATTATCCGCATTTTACAACATTTTGCAACGAAACTTTGGAATATTACTAATTTTGTGATGCTCTTTCAAGCTGTGATGAAATTTTTGTCCAGACTTGTCTAGATCAAAATTTCACTCAAAAGGGGAAAGGTCTATTATAATTGAAGGCTTAGTTACCACTGTTCTGATAACATAAGCATAGAATGGAACAAATGTACCCAAACACTTAAATATGTGATTGAATTGGCATGGCTGAACAGACATGTTGGTCAATTAAGTTAATTATCGTGCCTGGTTCTCCACGATGCTCGTGAGCTATAATTAGGTCTGTGACCTCATTTGCCCGACAAGCTTGAACAAGCTGACTCATGACATAGTTCCCTCGGTTAAGACGTTGACTGTTGGGAAATATAAGTCGTAGTTCCTTGGCGAACTGTTTGAGTCTCGAGCTTGGTGAATGTGATGTGGTGACCATGATCTTTGGATCTTCTACGCCAGCCCAGGCATACTCGTCATCTATGTGGGTCGTCACTTCTAGGAAAGAGAAAAACACACACTCAAAGTGCGTACATGGGGTGGGTGTGTGGGGGGATGGGAGTGGATGGGTGAGGGGGGGGGTTTGGAGATTTCATACCACATATTCATATACCCTAAATGAAGGACTAGCCAGTGTTTATGTGAAGAAAATCAGTACTCTGCTAGGGACAGAAATAGCTTGTGCAAATGGCGATGGCTTCTACATAAACTTCTTGGATGGGCCAAACATCATCTGAACATTCTGACACAGGAACATGAATCAACAGCAGTAGCCAGCTATAATTTTCATACAACTCTCTTCTCGGACGACCACTAGCAGTAATCGGAACCAAACTTACTCTCATGAGCTTCGTCATCAAATTCAATTGCTTTCCTCAATTCAGCTTCATCACTTCTTAGTTCAGTCGGGATCGGTTTACCTTCTATACTCAGAAGAAAAAAAACAGTGTTTAAGTAATGCTTATATCCAGGGCATACATTGACAAATAGACAATAACAAACTTCTTGTGTGTTTGGAATCAGGATAGGGGATATTGACAACTGGTTTGCATTGGGGTAGGAGTCTAAGCAATCATGGAATATGTTTCTAAAGGGAGACAAAATGTATTTTTCATCGACTTCCAATTGACTTTCTCAATTTAATTGTTTACCACTCAATAAAACCCGAAATCATAAACATAAGTCACTAAGTGTAAAAATATACATACGTCATAAGTGTTAAACCAATCGGATAACCTGTTTGGCGTACTTTGGATATTCAGAAAACTAATGGAATCGAAACAAAAAGGACACACAACTGTTCTGTCTACCATATGTTTGAGTAGGGGCAGCTGGAACAGTCGTGTGACCAGGTTCGGTTCAACTAGTATTCCAAAAATCCAGAGCACTCCGAACAGTAAATGGAGCAGTAAATGGTTATCAGATTGTTGAGCCCATGGGCCATCTAGTTGTATTTCTTAGTTCAGATGGCCTCAGGGAAAACCCACATTTATGCTCCATTTTGAGAAAATATTTATCTGTAAATATACACAATGTAAACCGTGCGAAACATTACTGCAAAGGGTTCCCAAATATATACTACTTTCAATTATTAACCAGCAAGCGTTGATCAAAGAATATTGGAAAATCAGATCACCATAGAAAACACCAAAACACGTGGACTCGCCTTGAAGAGCATTTTTTAAACGCTTCTTTCTTTCATATATTGTCCTTTCTTGGTCTTCAACAGATTTCTTATAGATATACTCCCTTCTCTGCCTCGCCTGCCGCCGTAACTACACGAAACAAAAACTCGATCAGTGTTTATTTTTGTTTATTTTTTCCAACAAAAATTATTCCAAACTTACCATAATTTTTATTTTGAAGTAAATAATGAGCCTGCGATGCTATGGCAGCGGTATGATTTGCCATGCATAATACGTCAATTCAGATATGTGAACTCACCCGCATTGAGTGGGTGACACCCGCATTTTGGAATCATCACACGCGGAAAAATTGGCACATAAAATCACCCGCATTAGCAAATTTTATAGCAATTCACCCGCATTCTGTGATTCTGTCTTCTGATTCTTGATGCGTTGTTCTGTTTTTGGTTGGTAGAGTGTATGCATGCGCACTTCTACTTCAACTAGACTTAACTCTTAAGACGTTTGTATTACTATACATCTGTTTTGTCATAAACAAGAATATAAATATCTATGGAAGTTAGAAATATGGGGCTTAGCAAGGCTTTTATAAATCACCAATCAATTTTCTCAATAACAAAAAATGACGTCATGTCAAAAATTATATATCACCCGCATTTTTGTTACTTAGGGTTCACATCTCTGCGTCATGTCAATCACTTGTTATTACAATATTGCCGTCGTTAGCATATACGAGTGAACAGGCGCAGATATGAAAGACTGACATTTAATCCATGTTAATAATAGTTGGTTTACAGTGTCAAAATTTCTGTGTTCACAGCAAGAATTTTGCATTTAGGTAAATTCTAAGTTTTGAAGAATTTGGAAGAAATGTTTGAAGGAACTGATTGTCCTGATTCAGTATTTAATTTGACACTAAGTAATTTTCCTCAAAGATTTCTTGCAAATTCTTCAAAACTTACAATTCACCGATTACAATCCTCATGTTGTTTTCCACAATTCTCATGTTGTTTTCCAGCTCAAATCAAAAGAATTTTCAACTTTTCATGTGCAATTACTTGCGTGCTGATACTAACTTTGTCATGAACTCGGGAAGCACTAGTTAGCTGCGATAACAATGTACAAGAATAATAATTTTAATAACATGATTAATGTAACAAATATTTACAAATGATTGTTCTAATCAAAATTCTGTCAGGCCCTACATCGTCATTATTGATGGTCCCTGAACTATTAAACGCATATACTATTATACTGTATTTATGTCCTTCACCTTTGCTACCCAATTAACATTTTCGGCGGAATGCATAAGTGCGCTCAAGCAGAAACGAAAGTAGGTCCTCTCTCCTCCGCAGAGGCTTTAGTTTTCTTAGGATTTAATATTATGATGAGATACATTTCACTACACTTTACATGGCGGATCTTGGAACACGAGCGTAGCCGCTGGCCGAAGGAGCAATTAAAGCCTCTGCGGAGGAGAGAGAAGTAGGTCTATTAGGACTTTATATTGTTTATTGCACTTTCAATGACATAGTTTCCATGGGTTTCCTCCCCACAATGGCCTAGTTTCCATGGGTTTTTTTAACTGTCTGTGCCAGTGTAGTAACATAATAACAAGCTTTCGTTGGTAAGGATGCAACTACCTGAAAAATATAAGGAGAATTTCGACGTTTCGAGCGAAGGACCTTCGTCTGGAGTTACTCGAAATTCTCCTTATATTTTTCAGGTAATTGGCACTAGTTGCATCCCGACCAACGAAAGCTAGTTTCCATGTTTGCCCGTTTTAGCATGGAATGCGCAGATCTTGAGCCCAATCTTGAGCCCAATCTTGAGCCCAATCCTGAGCCCAATCCTGAGCCCAATCTTGAGCCCAATCTTGAGCCCAATCTTGAGCCCAATCTTGAGCCCAATCTTGAGCCCAATCTTGAGCCCAATCTTGAGCCCAATCCTGAGCCCAATCCTGAGCCCAATCCTGAGCCTAATCTTGAGCCCAATCTTGAACCCAATCTTGAGCCCAATCCTGAGCCCAATCTTGAGCCCAATCCTGAGTTTCCACCTTGAGCCCACCTGAAACCCACCTTGAGCCACCCTGAGCTCCACCTTGAGCTCAATCTTGGAGCTCCTCCCCTGGTCTTTGAGCCCAATCTTGAACCTAATCTTGAGCCCAATCTTGAACCTAATCTTGAGCCCAATCTTGAACCCAATCTTGAGCCCAATCCTGAGCCCAATCCTGAGCCCAATCTTGAGCCCTCTCTTGAGCCCTATTGTGCACGAAACGTGAACAAATGACCACATGAAAACGAGGCCATTGGAACAAGACTACAAGAGTGCAATAAACAGTACAGTCAGATAAAGGGCTAATTTTTTTAGCTTTTGATTCGTTTCTATAAAACTCTAGACTTGAATAGGTTGATTTTGTAAGATCTCGTCTTTTTCGACATTATTTTGACTGTCATTTTCTAGTCCTTCTTTCAAACCATTTTCCTCATTTAAATTTTCTCGATGAACTATGACGAGTTCACTGTTTTCCGTATTGTCCTTTGTCTGTTCTTCCACTTGAAGAGTTTCATTTTCCGCCGGTTCGTCTTTCGTCATCAAATCACTCAATAACGGTTTCGGTGTTCCGTAATAATGGCCGTTGTAGCTTCCAGTTTCCAGAAAATATCCGTTCTTTTCCATCTCCAGGAATTTTTCACGGCTGATAAATATGTAGTCGATTCCAGCCTCTTCACCAGAGCGCGGTGGGCGAGTGGTACCTGTCGGGTTAAAGAGGTATTGGTTATTTCATGGGTTATTCAGGATGTTGGTAGGACAATCATATGGTATGATATGGTATGGTAAGTGGTTGATGTGGTAACTGGTTGGTATGGTATGGTATATGATTGGTATATTAGTTTTATAGTATCAAGTTTAAACAAGGAAAATACGTACATGGAACTGTCCTCGCATACAAATTGTCTCTGGTAGCATCTTGAAGGTCGATATCAACTTCATCACTGTTTGGAAAGTCTTGACTCAAGAAATCTCTCATGTCCTTGTTAATTCCACCTCCTGAAAGATATAAAGAATTTCTTTTACATTCCTGAAAATCCCATTCCCAGATCCGAAGCATTTTATAAGGGGATGAAAAGTTGTAATGTGGTTTCTTTATAATAAGAATAAATATCTTCAATCGTAAAACTGAAAAAATTGTTGCAACTTAAAGTTTTATAAAGTTTATTCAAGCAACTGTTGAACATTGAACTGAATCAACTTGAACATGAAACTACATGAAACTTTAACAATAATAATATTGTTTTAAGATTAAATATATTTTGCTCTACAAATGATTTTGTGTTAGGCACTCTTCTATCTACAATTATTATAAATAATAGATGCCTATAAATAAGATTTAATCATTCTCATTATTATACTTCGATGATTATGTTTATTATGATTATGATCTATTATTAATATGGTTGAGTTAAGCTATCATTTATCAATGTATTTAATCTTGTGTTAATATTGAAATTTATTGAAAACCGGTTTCGTATTGACGATGTCAATGATTTTGTTACACTTGAGAATGTTATTTATCAGATTTGAATTTAATATTGTCGAACAAATTCCTCGAGTTTTTGCAATACCACAATACTAGCTACAACGTGTTTTAAACTTCTTGCAAGACCAATAATCAAACAAAACTTGGAGTAATCTTTTCTTAACAAAGTTAGAAACTGATAACATGCAAAAATTACCCTTTGTTTAATTCCTTTTTAATTCCTTTCAAATTATCAAAATGAATCGAACGTATATAGCTACATTTTGAAGTGTTTACGACTTTTTCAGTACACTCGTCATAAAACCAATATATCCTGTACGACTAAAGAAAGACACTCTCAGAGATAAACTTTTTAATGTCATGTACGAATAATTTGTCGAGGTCATCAGTATTTTTAACTTCTGCAGCACTGAAATCCTATAATAACATAATTTCAGTTCTTCATTGAACATGTTCTACGTATCAAATTCGGCCTAATTCGTCAAGATTTTAGGACTGTCGAGTGTCATGTGAAATGTTGTTCCATGTTGTATTTCGTCCAAAAATATGTCTATTCCTTTGGCCTTGGTTCAAAACTTAGGTAACAAAAATATTTTATTAGAACTAAGTTCTTTCGGCAAAAGCAAACATCGACAAACAGTCTTTCAATTAACTCTCTGAAATTGCAACAATTAATACCAAATTAGTGGTAGGTTAAGGTCGTTAAGTTTCATTACATGTAAAACGCAGCGCTTAATTGTGCGAACATATGCGTCCGACTGTGACTTTTCAGTTTACTGACCCTTATAAAGTTATATTGTGCTACGATACGCCTGGATACCAAAAACAAATTAAAACAAAAATAACAAGTTTTGATATTTAATATAACCACGTCTTAGACCCCAGGTGCCATGTTTGATATCATGTATATGTATATGGAATATTATCGAATATTCTACTGACTCGGTTCGCAAGAAGGTGTACAACACCCACAAAGTTGCCCGGTGTGAGACCCGTGTCGAGTCCATATGTTGCACGAGCCGAATTCACAATCGATTCAGAGCCGTTTCAGGCCAAGTTTGGCCAACCACAAAGATGGTCTCGGATCCGTTTCACGTTCTACAACCAAGCTAATTTCTTGCATAGCAGTTTGGCATTCCCCCTCCCCCTATATGCCTTCTTTAATACCGTGTCGTAGCCAGGTTTTCCACTTCGGAAATAGCCAAAGCACTTAATTTCTCCTGCTAGTTTGCATGGCCAACTATAGTTACTGAACCTGCTAGAAACTTCCAGGGTATCCGCTAGAAACGTCGAAAAATTCTGTTTATGTTTTTAGGACGTTTCCGCAGCTATCTTGTTATCCTCGTTACCTACACTAGCTAGCGTCGACCGTTCGATATATTCAATTTGTGAGGAGAGTCGACATCAGTGGACGTTGCACGAGGAACTCAAGTTCTTTAAACATCCCCTTTTTCAGGAGTGCAACTGGCCAACGGACATTCTATTACCGTGCTGTCTCCTTATGGAACGAACTTCCAGAGAACATTAAATGTAGTTCATCAGTTAACATTTTTAAACATAAATTACGTAAATATCTTTTAGGAAATCATTCATAGTAGCATTTGGCCTTTAACAATTTTTACATCCATACCAGTAATTAGTTAGTTAGAATTTCATGTTAGTATATCTTTTAATTTTTTGTAATTGTTAATTGGCTCCGAAAAGCCCCGTTGGGGAAATTTTCAAATCTGGAGTCTCTGAAGTGCCATTTTGTGCATTTTGGAGATCATATATTAAGGCTCGTTCGTGTACATGAGAGAGAAAATCGCACTATATAAATCGCAGCAAAAATTGCCAGTGTGATCTTTAGAGTTTTGATGATTCACGTTTTTAACCAGGAGGAAATCTCTAGTACGTCCAACCCACCCACATATCCCCACTTAACAAGCTGAATGCTTTGTTAGACAATAAAGACAGTTGGAAAAAAACACCCTATAATTATTTATCAATTTTCAGATTTTCCCAAACAATTTATGAGATAATTTTCAAAAACCGCTTGTATGAAAGGCATTCACACAGTCATCATTTTATAACTAAGGAATGCGTCCAATAAGGAAAAGAAAACTAGAAAAGTCCATGTTTGAAAAATGCAAATAAGACTACTATTAATAGGCTATGATGTGCGATCTTGTCCGCTTATTTCAAAAGAACATATATACTTTTGTCGTTATTTTATAAGCGGATTGTAAAACCGACTTGTTTTGCCTTCTTTGCCTTTTACCGCTAAGCCTAAGGGCAAAAAATGTGCAGCATCGCCTGACGTGACTGGCCTCTTTCATTGGAACAGGTTTCCAATTACACCAGCTGGCTGAGATCATGAATTACAGTTAACAGCCAGCGTGATATTAAGCCACAGAATGCAAGAATGATTTAATATATCCGCATACTTCTTCAATGAATCATAAATCATATACCTACATATATTCGGCCGCGAGCCCAAGACACCAAAAGTACTTTGTGATTTACATTAATGTTGTTATATTTGCGGTTATTGTGGCTATTACTGGGTTATCAAGATCATTTCTATCTTATCTGGCTCTAAATATATTCGCCTGAATCAGTTCCGACTAGGTTCAACCACATAATATGTATATTGTTACATTTCAACAGTATATATCGCGATTAATAGCCAAACCTTTTATATATTTATATCAATTATATGCAGCAAATATTACTAACCTTTATTCACTTGGTATCTTTATTCACTTGGTATCTATCTATCATTACATGCAGCTGTATAACACCTCTACTTAATCATCACAATGCATGGCTATTACCAAAATATCAAAATCATTTTTTGCGTACATACCTAAAATTTTTGCTTGCAGACTATATGGATTCTTACAATATAAAGTTCACTATCAAAACATCACAATGCATTTTAATAATGCATTCCATCTATTCCAAACTATCATTTCACCTTCTCATACATTATCAGTAACAAAATGCGTACAAAAACACAGCACACCCCTACCTGGTTGCACGACTTTGAAATTCACTTTCTTGCCAGCTTTATTAATACGGTTCATCAAGTCTTGCAAAGTAAGGCCGACGACAGCTTCCTCGTTCAATTCGATCAAAATATCTCCGGTACGAAAACGACCTTTCCTGTAACGAGTTTTCTCGGTAGGCAACGCAACCACGTATAAAAACTCGCCATTTTCGGCTCCACCTTCTACACGGAGTTGTAAACCATCGTGTATTAAGGAGACATCTCTCACATTTTTCGACCAATGTCGTTGTGATTTTTGATTCGCGTGAGCTGGCATTGTGATTAATACACTCGGTCTTTTTGTCTAGATTATATATATTCCACCAATTCGTCGTGTGCTAGTGCTTTTGATTCTTAAACGTTAACAGTTTACGTAGCCTGATTTTGTTCACTTGGAACTTATAGATCTTCGCTCTACGTTGAGTTGAATAACACTAATACATTAAAGTGGTTTCATGCCTGTATATTTATATATTCCAATATCATTACGTCAGGATTTTAAGAATGCTTGACATTTGCTGAAGCGATAAAATTACGGTGATTTGTATAAAATTAGGTCAATGGGGGTCATAATTTCATCACTTTAACATCAGGGGGTATGGTCGTGTAGAATTTTCTTTATTTTGTTTCTGTGGTATCACATAAATATTGAAATATGGGTGGAACATATACTGTAGCATACTTAAAAAGGAAAAAGTATTTGTATGAAAGCGATGTTGCAAATTAGCAGCTGTGAAATAATTCTAATAAGCATAATTGTTACATCATAAATAAAATTAATTCCTAGCTATTAAACCTTACACTGAATAATCTTTACAGATATTTTTTTACAACGAATATACGTGTTTTGTCTGCGTACGGTAGCCAAAAACGAAAATTGATCTCTTATCTATCAGTGACGGTTTTTTTTACAAAACCTTGAACTTCAATACCTATATATATCGTCACCGACTATATATGTTCCTATTTTAGAACTTTTATAGTCTACGTTTTGAAATATCATAATCACTTAATACTTCATCAGTCATAGAACTTCACACAATGAAATTCAGCGTCTATAGTTTTCACTTTCCCGCAGTGACTCAATACTGCATGATTCAGTATGGCTGTTGAGAGTTGTGCCAATGATTTGCTCATAGGCAAGAAGTTTATGTAACAACTTTTATTTAACCGGTAGTAACTGTTGTCAACACTCAACATTTTATTTAAAGTTTGACACTCGAGTGCCACCATCCTGTAAAGCGTTTTTGTGCCTACATAGTTTGTCGAGTGCATCAATATTACAATATACAGTCTTTATATATGGTGTTATAGTATACAATACTGACACTGTAGTACATCACGTACAAATGTTATACAGAAAAACTCATTGATTTATTTGAATTTGGAAACCTTTGAAAAGAGCAGACGCCAAGTTTTCTTGTGAACTGAAAGTTTCCTTGACAACAGTAAGTTTTCCTTGACAAGTTTACTTTCTTGTGTGTATGGTCAACAAGTTTTCCTTGACCAACAAGTTTTCCTTGACAAGTTTACTTTCTTGTGTGTATGGTCAACAAGTTTTCCTTGACAAGTTTACTTTCTCGTGTGTAGGGTCAACAAGTTTTCCTTGACAAGTTTACTTTCTTGTGTGTATGGTCAACAAGTTTTCCTTGACAAATTTACTTTCTCGTGTGTAGGGTCAACAAGTTTTCCTTGACATGTTTACTTTCTCGTGTGTAGGGTCAACAAGTTTTCCTTGACATGTTTTCACTGACTTCCCTTGACAACTTTTGTTGCTCGTGTGCATGGAATGTTTTTAAACATTTATATCTCACGCCAAGGCCACCTTTTGTTTGCCAGAACCATAGAAGCCTTTCTCGTGTGTAGGGTCAACAAGTTTTCCTTGACAAGTTTACTTTCTTGTGTGTATGGTCAACAAGTTTTCCTTGACAAGTTTACTTTCTCGTGTGTAGGGTCAACAAGTTTTCCTTGACATGTTTCCCTGACTTCCCTTGACAACTTTTGTTGCTCGTGTGCATGGAATGTTTTTAAACATTTATATCTCACGCCAAGGCCACCTTTTGTTTGCCAGAACCATAGAAGCACTTCTTGTACACTTGTCAAGTTTCCCTTGGCGACCATACCGCACACGAACAAATTTTCCTTGTCCATGCAAAGCTAGTCTCCCTCGCAGCCTGCAAAGCTGGTATGACTCACTTTGTTAAGACTGTTAAAGCTTGGTTTTCATATATGGTGGCAACCATAGGTGGCAACGGTCGTAAAGATTGAGTCACGATCTTTCTCATCAGCCGAACTACAACATTTTAGAACTGAAAATGCGCGGAGTCAGATTATCTGAACTATAGAGAATATACTTGATATTTATATGTCGGGTTTACAGGTATAAACTATTATAAACTGGCCGTTGAGAAAGATCGTGACTCTGTTTTTACGGCGACCATATGGAAACCAGGCATTGGCAAGAAAAATTTGTCAAGTAAAAATTCATAAAAGGCGTTGCAATAAAGTATAACTGCAATACGTTCTCGTAAGGTATTTTCAACAAAGACAGAATGAAAAACCAGACGTCCTATAGAGTTTGAAAAATTTATTTATGTATGAGTTGCGATATCCTGTTTCTATACTTGGTTTGCAGGAAATGGGAAGTAGATACTGATTTTTGTATGCGCGCAGGTTTGCTCGCTTTGCATAGGTAAATTCTATATGTTTTGAAGGATTTGTAAGAAATGTTTGAGGCGACTTGGTGTTTAACAGTTCCCTCAAACATTTCTTACAAATCCTTCAAAACCTATGCAAAATTCCGCCTACTGTGATCATGGGCGTACCGGAAGGAAAAAATTAGGGGGGCTGAAAGAAAAGTGCCCTACTTTTCGGGATTCTGCCCGACTAGTGCCAAAAATGTTTTTCCGGAAAAATTATTTTGGCGACCTCCCCCCACCCCCCCCGTCGCCAAATTTCGGTCAGTGTACCATTTTAGGCGTCAAAAAAATTTTCCGGAAAACCAATCTTTTTCGGAACATCACACAGATTTTCGAAAAATCACAAAATTTGCCAAAAAATTGACTTAATTTTAGACAAAATTGACAGAATTTGTCCCATTTTTTTAAATTGCAAACCAAAATTGCCCGACTTTTCATCGAATATTGCCCGACTGCCCAAAAAACTGGGGGGGCTACCGCCCCGCCCCCCCGCCCGGTACGCCTATGACTGTGATCACAGAAACTTTGATAACATAAGCCGCCAATCTTTAGTTTGTTTCTTAAATGCTAAAATGCATATTTTCAATTCATAGTCTCATTCATTCTTTTACGGTTTTTACTGTCAGTTTGAAGCTGACGGAAACGTAAATGCTCTGCGTGGGTCATTGCATGCCGTCACAATTTTTTATGAAAATTTCCGTGTTCCGTCGATACTTGCGTGTGTCCGAAAATTTGTTCCCAGTTGAATTGCACGATCAAATTAAAATTCTGAAGCCTTAATAGTCATGAACGGAGGCGAGAATTCGAACCAAGGAGCAATAAACTGCTGAAATATTTACTTAACAATCAAAATCATTTTATAATTGCTTACTAAATGACGTAAAATGGCTAATAAAATTGTAAATTTGAATGGCTGTTAGCGAAAATACCACGCGTAGTTTACGCCAATCACGGATAGCCTGTTGTGTGTTCATTGTTCAAGTAATAAATTAATGTCACGGAATAGATCTCGCACACACGCCATTTATTTGCGTATTTCTTGTCAGTTGAGACGTATTCAGATTACAAAAAAATGAATGAAAAAGCAACAGATATTGTCATATTAATGGCACAAGAACACGTACTGAATTGCTTAGAATTTTGAACAGGATATCCACGTGGTTTAAGTCGTACTTCATGTAGGCGAAATGAATAGAGCGTTGGAGGTTATAACGTAAGAACCAGGGCGCTTTAATTAATATAAGAACTGATAATTCATTTCCTCAGGAAAAGCCACCAACTTCCCAACGGCTAAAAAAAGCACTATCGGAAATTTGGTGTTTTGTGTGATAAGTTATCGAGGTAATATGCGTTTATCTTCTGTGGTTTGTTTTAATTCGGATAATGGAATTAATTTTTCAGTGCAAATATCACATGTTTTCAAAAAGGTTTTTTTGTCCAATCAGGCACTGCGTGTACGCGCTCGTACCTACTTTTTCTGCATGAAGGTTGAACATAGAGGTTGAATAAGTTAGACAAGTTATAGCAATGGCTCTAGAACACACTCATAGTAGAGGCAAGTTTACTGTAAATATTCTTTTATGTCAGTAATGTATATATTAAATTAACAAGCCTTCACGGTAAATTGGTTTCCATGGATTAGACTGACAATTACTGTGATTAGTTAGTATATAATTTAAAAATTTACATTGGTAAAGGATAGAAAATATTCCATTAATCTGTGACTCAATTTTTGAGTCAATTGCGCTCAGAGATTGTTTTTGAAAAATCTTAAAAATTTTTGAAATTTTAGTATTTTATTTGAAACGTGGCAGTTGGCCAAAATTTCCGGATTTGGTGTCCGACCGCTCGTGGTGCATACTGGGTAGCATATTCACGAGGGAAGGCCTCTTGAAAGGAACATTTTGCGCGAAGCACATGGGCAGTATAAAGGCATAGCTTGTAACGGTGAAAATCAGCTTGAAATAAACACTTGGAGTGTTAAAAACCAGCTAGAAACTTGGCGGAGAATCTGTTGTACACTTGTGGCAACGTTGTTGGTGTGATTAGGAGATCTGTGCGATTTTTGAGGACTTTTAATATACGTCCTTCGGCCACGCGACCTGAGCGGACGAAAGGAATTTATAGTAAACCATATTGAAAGTAAGCAAAAATTGTCTTATTTACCATATATTTCATTAAAACCTATTCGAATTGTGAATTATGTCCTTTATACAAGAGTTCAAGGCATTATTTTAAGCGTTTAAGTGAAAATTAATAGATTTTTTCCGAATTTTTTAGGGAAAGGAATTTAGGATGTCGGATCGCGATAACTCTTGTTACCAGTGCGGGAAGTCGGGACATTACGCTCGTGACTGCCCTGATTCCGATGGTAGTCGTGGGGGCCGTGGACAGAGAAGTGGAGGAGGCGGTGGTGGTGGCAGAGGTATATCTTGCGCTTGCAAGTTCACAATCTTCGCATTTAACGATTGATCTAAGAAAGGCGAAGTTGTTTGATTAGCTGTTTTATAGGTGATAGCACGCGGGAAACGTGTTCTGGCCTGTGCTATGGGGGGAGGTCAGATATGCCTGAAAGGGGCTTTGTATTTTTCTTGAACAGTCTGTGCCTGTTCAGGTAGTGGCAATAATAAGAACGCCGTGGCTATTCGTACCGGAACAGTACGCCGAGTTTGATTTGCTATTCGTACTGCAGTCGTAATATTTAAGATAAACCTGACCCCAACCCCTTCCCTAACCAATAAAGGTCTAATAAACTATTTGAGAATTAAAAAAGTGGGGGGGGGGAAATTAAAAATATTTTAAGAGAAGTTTCTAAGTCAACAGAAAACCGAAGGTAAAAACTAAACCCGGACCCGACCTCGTTTCACTTTGCACGCACACAACTCCCTTGCCGATTGCGCTAGCAGCAAGCTCGCTAAAAGCTATTGCAAAAAACTATTTTATATTGCTACTTTACGTAATGTAAGAATCGGGTGCCTTATTCCAGTACGAATAGCCACTTCGTAATAAGAAAGTTTTGGATTGATAGGGATACAACTACCTGAAAAATCCAACGAGATCTTTGACGTTTCAAGCAAAGGCCCTTCGTCAGGAAGTTAGTTTCGCTCGAAACGTCAAAGTTCTCCTTGTATTTTTCAGGAGTCTGTTCTGGTTTGCGGGATGTTGTGATGGGCGAAAAATAAAAACGTGGTATTCCGGATTTTAGCTGGCATTGCGGGTTAACTTCTAATTTCCTCCATGCGGGAGGTATGGACGTTTTGTGGAATCCGAACGACCCATTTCTGGATGGGATCGTACTTTGTTTCAGGATGGGTATCACAATTAAGCATGGCGGAGGAGGATTAAAGAGAAAATTGTTTAGAAATGTGGGATGTTGTAGCCAGATGACGGGCTTCTTTACTTGTAAATTCGGAATGTTTGTTGTAAAGTTTTGAAGGTTTGTTTCGAAGTTTGTTCCAATGATTTACAATGAATCAATAGCAAGGGATTTGATTGGATGGTTCATTAACTTCATTTAACTAGCCAATTACAACTTACTAAACTTGATTATTGGAAATGATCGAAACAAACGTCTGAACTTTACAATGAACACTCTGAATTTACAAGTAAACATTGGAAGCAAATTGAAATCTAGGGTAACATATAGATGTGTTTCCTGTTGTAAATTTATAAAATACCACAAAGAGATCAATTTATAATGACAATTATTTTTGCTTCTATTAGGTGGTGCCTGTTACAACTGTGGCGAATCTGGCCATTTCTCAAGAGATTGCACTAAAGAGAGAGGTAAAAGAATTATTTGAGAACTCAATTGCTTATCCAGAGAATTGTAGAAACTAGTTTGTTTCCTCAACATTATAAACGTTGATACTGCTGATTCGGGAAGACTGTTTTATAATGGAAATAATTATTGTGTGTGTTACAAGTGTTGAATTATGACGTTTCTAGGCAGGTTGGTTTGATGTTGCCAGGGTGCTGTTTACGTTATTTTCAAAATTCAATCGAACCCCCGCAATGTCAATCAACATATCTAGAAACGTGATAATGCAACTGTTGTTGCAACGTACACGATAATTATTTGCATTAACCAGTCTTCCCTAATCCTCAGTAACAGAGCCTGAAATGGCAGTTGGACATCAGACATTTTCCAGATGCTTTGTTTACAAACCGGCTTGTGAATTTCAAACACAACTTGACAAGCGTTTTGTGATATTGACTGTAATAGTATATTTTACCGGAGAAAACTATTGGCATACAGAACTATTATTAAAGAGTGCTGTGAAATTATAATTTGCTAGACATCACTAGGCAGGGTTCGAATTAGCAGCTCGCTATTCACAATTTGCGAAATTCACAATTTGCGAAATTCGCAATTTGCGAAATTCACAATTTGCGAATGTAAATTCGCTTTTTGCGAAATCATCCATTTTGCGAATGATGTTTCGCAAAAACAGATTGATTTTCACAATCACTTTGAATGTATTTTACTATAATGTAAGATATGGAGTATTTTGCTGACTATTATTGTAATTTTGTACTAAAAAGATGTGTGACATGAAGAATATGGTTACGAAATTTGCTACGAAACGACCACATTTTGTTTTCCCAAGCAGTGTTTCCACTTTTCAAAACTGAAATTTCCTTCAAATTTTCAAGAAGGAAATTTGCGAATCTATTTTTCCTGTCTTTCCTACTCTGCCCCCCCCCCAGGTAAATTCTCCCCTGTGCTATAGCAATTATAACTTGTTTCTCACTACAGTCTCAAGATGTTACAATTGTCAAAAGGAGGGTCATGTAGCACGTGATTGTCCGGAGGAGGATTCACGAGGTGACCGTCGCAGAGGTGGTGGTGGTGGTGGTGGTGATTGCTTCAAATGTGGAAAACCAGGACACTTTGCAAGAGAATGCCCCGATAATGAAAACAATAACCGAGATTAAGTGTATATCTCTTGACCTTTCTCATGTGTAATAACAATGTGACTTTGTTCGATGAACCTATATTACGAGGCCAAGGTCTTGTAATTCACATATATAGTTATAATGATATGTTCTGAATGTTTTTGTTGAAATGATAGAAGTTTGTTTTAAGTAGTTGTGAATTGTGTATTAATTGAATGCTATATTTTCTCAATAATATGTCTTCCAGTTGTTGAATATTTTTTAGTTTATTACCAAAGTCAAAAGAAAAATATATGTCCCCCCCCCCCGAGTCTCTAGTAACAACACAGCCTTGTAGAACCAGTTACCAAACTTTTCAGAAGTGCTTTATTAAAGTTTATTTGAAATATGCCTAAGTATGAAAGGTATCCAAAAATATTGTATCATGCTTGTGATGTTACTCTGATTGTATATCGACACCGGGCAGGCTTGAAATATATGTCTGGCCACGGTGGGAATCGAACCTATGACCTTTGGAATACTAGCCCAATGCTCTGCCAACTGAGTGACGCAGTCAGGTTGGTTTGAGTATGTGATATTTCGGAACAGAATCTAGTTCCTTCGATATCAATGTAAAATAGTAATCATGATATTTTCTGTGTTGGTGTAATGGCAGAGCATTGGGCTAGTATTCCAAAGGTCGTAGGTTCGATTCCCACTGTGGCCAGGCATATTTTTCAAGCCTGCCCGGTGTGGATGTACACTCAGAGTAACATCACAAGCATCATATTCACCTGAGTGCATTAGACCAACACAGAAAAATCAATATTATATCACTTAATAAGTTGCATTGTGCCCTAATTTATTATTTTCCTCTGTCCAATGCCAACAAAGGGAGTGCTCATTGTGTTAATTGGCTTAATCTGACTATGGCACATGTATCTAGTTAACCCATTAAATTGCATTGCGTGCAACTTTATTATTTTACTCTGTCTAACTCCAGATAATTTTACTCGTCAAGGGTGCTGGTGCTCAATGCTTAAATAGAATTTTGCCTATTGAATTTTGCGTCTGATATTTGTGCTCATAAGAATACAATACCAACTGCTGGGAATTTTGCCCTTGTTGCTGGCCTAGCAATGAATTCCTATTTTTGCAACTTGTGGAGTACATTTCAAGGGAGTATATTTCACTTTTTGTTGACACTCAATCCATTGAGCTCTGGGGCTCTCCCCTTGACGAGTAAAAGCGTCTGGCATTAGAGTAAAATAATAAAGTGGGGTGCAGTGTAACTTATTAATGTGTTAATGAGTGACAGCTCTCCTTTGAGAGGTAAAATTGTCTGCTGTTAGAGAGAGAAACAATAAAGTTGGGTACACTAACATTGGGGTACAATGCAACTTAATTGGTTACTGTATGGTGAATATTTGTTCGGATGGAATTTAAAACAAAACTTGTGATCCGATCTTGACTCCAGTCATTTTGAGGTCAGCGCTTAATATTTTCCCGATTTCGGGTTTCGGGCGATGTTATTGAAAGCGTGGTCACCAGCAGTAATCCTTTTGTTACATGAGCAGGAAGTGCCACATGTCACATGAGATTACAATTATAAACATCGAAAATTGATTTGTAAAGAAGACTGTTCTAAGAACTATTTTCGAGTCTCTTAAAATACCTCAAAGGTTGTTCAAGAAACGCGGAAATTATCCATTTTTGACAAGATCACGGAAAGGGGAAATTTGGTGTAAGTTTTTGTAGTATTTCCTGTTTTCGAGTGTGTTTTTGTTTGATTACAAGAAGTAATTTTTCATATTTACGCTACGTGTCTTTGTAGTAAAAGTCAGCGGCTATATAAAAATTAAGATGGATGAGTTTATAGGATGCTGTATGTAAAGGACACATCTAGTAGATAAACATTTTATGTCTTCTGTGTACAGATTGTCTATAAGGAATGTTGAAATTGTTCATTTAATTTGTAGTTGACTGGTAGTAGAACAATTGTTGAATCCTTTTGTAACAGGTTGTGAAATCTTGTATCTTCAAAAATGCATCCATATAGATATACAGTTTAGACCTTCAAGTGGCAGTGTGGCCTATTTTTTTACTCTGGCAAACACCAGACAAGAACTTATAAACACCAGACAGTTTTACTCGTCACAGAGCGAGTGCTGTCACTCAGATGATTGGGTTAATTGGTGTCTGATTTAAGCTTTGGTCAAACCATAGCCTATCGAAGGGAAGATGGCTGTGAAACTCATTAGAATAAAAAGATAACTTGTTATCTATGTTAGTGAACGTTTATTCATAAATCTGGTCCTTCACCGCCACATGTGCACTGTATTTTTGCCAAATGCACCAATAGCAGTTTCCAATTTACCCTATTGTTTGAGTCATGGATAGGTTATTTCCTAAAACATTGCTATTGGTTAGTTCGGCAAAAATACAATATGTACGTGATGGTGAAGACCATATTTATGAATAAACGTTGACTAACATAGATACTGCTAATGAGTTATTATTTATATTGTTATTCTAATGAGTTTCACAGTCGCCCATCTTCCCTTCGATAGGCTATGGTCAAATGTCTCATATTTCTCAACTCTCATGCCCGGTCAAATTTGAACAGAGGAAGATTGTGAAATTATAATCATTGTGTCACTGTTTATCATTACTGAGTTTTTGTTAAAATTGCTCCCAGAATGCAGGAAAAATAGCGTTACCAAGCCTTAGAATGTTAAACATTTTCTGGGGGAGCATGCCCCGATGACTCAACTCGATAAATCTAAATTCCTAGTTACGGGCCTGTGCACTGTATGGTACATCTTTGTCTCTTAACAAATTATGTTTGCTATTAAGTGATCCTTACTGCATGTATGTTGTGTTGTTCATTAGATATATTCAGAGGAGGATGTCGTGTTACAATTGTGGAAATAAAGGCCATATATCTCGAAACTGCACAGAACCTAAAAACCAGTCTAGAGGAGGTGGGTAATTATCAACAGGGACGTAGCAATTATAACTTTTACACTTCAGCGGAAAAATTGTAAGGTAATTTTGGTAATTTTACACTTTACCGTACCGGAGTATAAAATCACTGAATACATACGACATCAAAACACACGATAAAAGAATGGGAAAACTCGCCATCATCAAATACTTGCGGTAGACAGGTACGGTAAACTGTAAAGTACCCGTAGTTTTCACTGCACCTATCTGGCAGCCATGTTCTTAGCAAGCAAGTGTCCAGCCCCTTACTAAGAACGTGGCAGACTCGAAAAATCCCTTACGCTAAATTAACCTGAGTTAGACCTCTGTATGTAATTACTCTTTATATGAGACTAGAAGTCAGAGAACCCAGTAGTTTTTAATTTTCTTGATTGAGAGCTTGACATGAACAACTTTATTACAATTTTTTTAGGATTTAAGTCGTGCTACAAATGTGGTGAACCAGGCCATATTGCTAAAGATTGCACAGAAGAAGAGGGTAAGATCATTTTCTCAACCAGTTAATGTCTAACAAACTGCAGGCAGGTTCAGTTTCTGGTCAGGCAGGTTCTATTCAAATGTCAGGCAGATTGTACATAAAATTATGGGATGTTTATGGTACAAAACATTTTGTATTTGCTGGGCAATTTCCATCAACGTCGGGCAAATCTTTGTATTCTTTGTCCACCCCCTCATTTTCCCTCCCATTTGCATATGCTTTAACCCATTAAGCTGCAAAGCTTCCCCATTAACGAGTAAAATTGTCTGGTGTTAGACAAGCAAACAAAAAATAAGTAGGGTGCACTGGGGCGCATTGTGGCTCAATGGGTTAAACTGACATTTATTCATCTAATTTCTTAGCCAAGTGTTATTCATGCAATGAGCCAGGCCATATTTCTCGTGATTGTCCGAGTGGCAACTCTGACGCTGGTACCCAGTCGTCTTGCTATCAATGTGGAAGAATTGGACACATCAGGAACAATTGCCCCGAGAATACCAGTGATGACAATGCCGCAGAAAGAACCTCCAATAATAGAGGTATTTGGTAAATGTAGAATCATGATAGTAATTCCATGGAGTAGTGATGACATTTTTGGAAAAAAAAAGTTGTCAAGATTTTTCAAGAATTTTGGAAACAATTCTGAACTGAAATATTAAGGTGTACTTTATATATAACATGAGTCACGTAACATGAGTCACATGTATTATGTAGCAATCCTTACTATTGTAATCCAAAATATAAAATTTCTTTGTGTTGGTAGTTTGTCTAGCATATAGTCTGTTACTTGATAGACATTGTATGTTTCTCCTTCCTATGGTTCCTGAAGAAATTCAAAAGTAGTATACTGGTTACTGTGAATCAATAGCTCACCATTATTTGTACTGGAGGTGTGCACTGGATCGGATTGGACGTTTATAATCCGACAATTGGCTAATGTTTAAAATCCGATCTGATCCGAAATCATCTAATCTGATCCGAACCAAGTTTTGACAAAGGAATTCCGATCCGTTCCAAAGAATCCTTTAATAAAATATATTTCTCATTCAAGTGGTAATATGTCACCAAATATTTCGAATATTGAAGTCCGATCTGATCCAACTACGAAACAACTTTATCAATCCGATCCAATCCAAAATGAATATTTTTGTTCAGAAATCAGAACAAATCGGATCGGATTTGCACACCTCTAATTTGTACCTGCATGCAAAAATGTGACAGGAAAAAATATATTAGTTATTACACCAGATCAAAATTACTCTGATAGTTTGGTTCAGAATGTAGTTGCCATGGAATTACCCATACCAGAGTCACCATGGAATTACCCATTATCTGATTATCCAACAAATAACAAACAACTTTTTTTGTCCTCAGGTACATGCTACAACTGTGGCGGACGTGGACATTTTGCGAGGGACTGCAGCAGTGCTAAAAAAGGTCAACTCCAGTCCTCCTGTTTCCGTTGTGGTACGCGCGGCCACCAGGCACGTGATTGCCCCAAGGATAAAGATGTGTGCTATGATTGTGGCAATCCAGGCCATATCCGAAAGGATTGCCCGAATTTACCCAGCCCCAAATGTTACACCTGTGGCGAGGAGGGCCACTTAGCCAAAGATTGCACTTCTGAGTGATGGGATTTAAGATGGAAAATTATTGGTTGTCGAAATTTGAAGACTTGTATGAAATGGGAATTTTGAAGTTGTAACTGCAATTCGTGAAATGTGAGTTAGACAAGTGGAATGATTATTAGAATGTCAGAATCGTACACAGTAGGGTTAGGGGAAGGTTAGGGATTGTTAGGGATAGGGTTGGGTGTGTGTGAAACACAAGGTTGTTACTTGTTACTGAATGTAGAGAGAATTTGTGATTGGGTTCTGGCCGGAAGGGATATGGAATTAGTATTGTCGGTTTAGGTGCTAGAATGGTAAAGGAATTTGCTAGTGGTATTAGTTATGGCTAGTTTTAGTCTACATGGGTTCCACCTGTTTATATGGCCATTCTGCCCAGGCAGGGCTCAAAATAACGGCCAGTCAACGGGCATTGACAGGGCAAAGACTCTTGACCGGTCACTTTTTTACCTCGTTTATCATTTTGACTGGCCACATTTTCATGCCTTCCAATGTTATAGCTGAGGTCTTGAATTAAAACATGAAACTATGATTTATCGAAACAAGTTTCTAATAGTTTGTTTCACTGTTAGTGTAAGTGTATCAGATTTTGGCCGAGCTAAAATCAAGTTGACCGATTATTTTGACCGGAGACCTATCTCCCGTTATTTTGAGCCCTGACAGGTGAAATGAGGATGAGACAATCCTTATCGACTATTCAACTCTCATCAACTTAAGCAACTTTCATCAACTTTGAGCTGGTTCAAATTTTGATGAGAGTTGATGAGAGGTTTTGCTAGTTTTATCGATATTCTCTCATCAACTCTCGCGCAACTCTTACGCCCGTATTCTAAGAGCTCACTCACACTCAATGAGTGGAGGTTCAATCTGAGCTTCTCTTGAGAGTCAATGCTGTTTTTGAACAGCTGGAGGCTTAGTGTCGTACCTTACTATATGACTACTAATACTCCTGCTATTCAAAAACAGCATTGATGCTCAAGAGAAGCTCAGATTGAACCTCCACTCATTGAGTGTGAGTGTGAGTGAGCTTTTAGAATACGGGCGTTATTCTCGTTTGACCGGGGCATGAGAATTGAAACTTCGATATTGTAAAAGCTGGGGTAAAGGCTTATTTACACTATCAAAGTTCCTGTGATCACAACTTAGAAATTTTGCATTGAAGTATTTGTAAGGCCTGTTTCAAACGTCGCGCTTCGAGATCATGTGCCGAACGCATTAGAAACTATAGATACTGAGGCATTTCAGCTGATTATCTACTGTTTTTAATGCGTTCGCAGGCCTTAAAATATCTTTTACAGGGCCGTCTGACAAAATGTCCGATGACGTTGAGTTTGGGTCGCACATATGTCTGATGACCTTCAGTTCAGTTTGGGTTGGAAATAAGTCTGAATGCATGACGCAAATTAATATCAGCATAATGTATTCATTCTGAACTAAATGTTGTGAAGATATTAAATAATTTGTGCTATTCATACTTATTTCCAAGCCAAAATTAACTTGCTTGCCAATGATAGCAGTACGACTTCGATAACTTTTAAGTTAAGGTCGGACAAACAATAAACTTCAGTTTCACTTAGGTCGGACAGAATGTCCGGTGGTTTCCTCTCTACGTCGGACAATTTGATGAATGAGTCGGACAATGTCCGTGACCGACCGATATTTTAAGGCCTGCTGCGTTCGGTACATGAGAAGCGCGACGTTTGAAACAGGCCTAAGTATCAGTTCCCTGACTCCGTGTTAAACAGTGCGTCAGTTCCCTCAAAGATTTCTTACAAATCCTTCAAAACTTAGAATTTACCTCATGCAAAATTCCTACTGTGATCACAGAAACTTTGATAGTGTAAACCACCCCATTGAACTATAAATAAACTGGAAGGCTAACTGCTATGATGAAGGCCTATGATTTGATGAAGCCAAAATAGTTTTTCTGAGTTATGAGCTGAAATACTTGACCCCAAACGTCGTCCTTTATAACACTCAGTAAGTTTCCTCAAACATTTCTTACAAATCCTTCAAAACTTAGAATTTACCCATGCAAAATTCCTACTGTGATCACAGAAACTTTGATAGTGTAAACCAACCATTGAACTATAAATAAACTGGAAGGCTAACTGCTATGATGAAGGCCTATGATTTGATGAAGCCAAAATAGTTTTTCTGAGTTATGAGCTGAAATACTTGACCCCAAACGTCGTGCTATATATCAAATTGAAGCTATTGAAAATTGCTATTCGGTGTGGAAATTTCAAGACTTCAGCGAAAAGAAAAATACAGTAAAAAATACAAAAACAACTGCAAAACGGCAAATTATCGGTAATTATGTTTGTAGTTTTTCAATATTTCCCTTTTAGCTAAAGTCTTGAAATTTCTACACCAAATAGCGTTTTTGAATAGCTTCAATTTGATATATAGCCCAACGTTCAG